GTGATGAACTGTTGCGTTTAATATCTTTAGACTACAGCAACAAGATGTAATTTCTTTAGTAACCAGATGTAGTAAAAAAGATGCTTATATGTTTAATGTAGATTTTCCTGTAATTAAATTGCGTCTGTTACGTGTCGTACTATTTGTTCATTTTTAGGAGTTACCGAAGTAACGTCGAGTAGACGTTCTTTATTGTGTTACTTTTCAGAACTAGCCTTCGTTGCGAAACGCAGAACACAACCGAAGGAACTTGTAAACTACTCTAGGTACGATTTTATATTCCTTGGTTGTTGATAATAAAGCCAGCTTTTGTATTTATGTTAGCTTGTTAATTACTCAGGCGGTTTCGATATACGAAACAGGATAGCCATTGAATACAACTGGAAACGGTGGTCTGTTTATTATGGAGGCATTCAATAGTAGTGCCACCGTTGCCTCCTATGAAGGAACAGACAAGTTACATTCATGCCTTCTCCAAGATTCGAACTCGGGTATTTCGGTAAAAGAGTCGTAGCCACTAACCACTTTCCCGTCTGGGCAGTACTTTGAGATGTATAACTGCTCAAAATTTCTTCTTTTAAACAATATGTATTTTTAGAAAGTTCTATTCAATTTATTTATTATCTTTAAAACTTTATCCTTTTATTTTATGAGACGTCAATGATAAATTCTAAATACCCAATAGAAAAACAGGTTTTTATAGAGATATTACTTAAATGTAATGTCGGTATTTTACTTACAGCACTTATAGGGAAAATAAGAAATTGAATTTTAAAGATATTACATCTATGCTTATAAAGGCCTCCAATCATGAATCTTTCTTACAAACACTTTGTCTTGAATTTGTATTTCATTTCTATCAAATACAATAAACGAAAGATACCAGTATAAACTTGAACGAATTTAACCATCTTCAAATTCGACTTCTAAAGTAGAATACACAGTAATATTCCATAATATTGGTACGAGATGGTCATTTCATAATATTTGTACGAAACTGATGCAAGTACTTATTTTTTTTAAATAGAAATGCGTACTCAGAGTACACTCCAAACCGATAAATAGTGTTTGATCACTTCATTAATATTCCTTGGGCAATTTACCGCTTTTAATCTCATCAATACAGATGGTTCCCTACCTAGTCAAAAACCGACTTCGCATCTATTGAAGTTGCACTAGCATGTAATTTATTTCTTTTATTTTGATGAGTTTGGTTTGGTTTTTACACGCCAGATTCAACGTAGTATCGATTGCGCGTTTAGTTAGAAAAAGTCCAGAATATATAGGCTTAGAAAAATTACTTGGAAATGAGATGACGCAATAGTGCTTGATTTTTTATTTTATTAATGTCATTTATCAGTTTTATCAATTATGGGGCAAAAAGCATACTGATCAATATGCTGCCGGATCATCTGAGTTTTTATCGCTTTTTTGGATATAAAACCAAATTGACTATCCTTTAAGAAGTAGATAATTCATCTCTATCTAATCAGATCCTAAAAATATTTATAAATAACAGGGAAGTTGGAATGCGCGATTCATTAATGATGCCCAAAGCTAATTCATCTGGACTTGAAGTAGGTTCATTTTCATTTAAAACTACAAATTCATCTTCTTCTTCCGCAAAACTGGTATCATCCTCAGAATCAGTGAGGAAACGTGTTTCCATTCTCGTCATAGAGTGACTAAGCCAATTTTCTGTCATTATGCCGTCTGAAAAGTAAAAATTGATAACTGTATTCTGTTATGTAGAAAGAAATAATTTGTACTTTGTAGGATTTATATTTATTTTAACTAACATTTATTTTAAGCTATCTTTCCTGTCAAGCCTTTACTTTCGCCTAGAATTGCCAATGCTAGAGTATGTAAATTGTAGTAGAGCCCGCAGTATATATTCAAATTTAGCAGAAGTAAGTTGAGTTTAAATAGAAGGCAAACGAGATTGTAAGTGTGCTTCTTGAATCGCGAACGTGGAGGTTGTTAGGTAGAAATTTAAGAACCGCGCGTTTCGGCCAGTGTGCCTATCTCGGCAGTTTTTGCTGAATCCTTCAACTGCTTAATCAGTAAGCTCGCTGAATCTCAGCTGTATTTTAGAACGCGGTTAAGTTAGTTAAGATTTCAAAGCCTCGTAGGTAGTGATCTAGTTATTTATTCATCCAGTCATTATTTTTTAGTTTCACATTTCTGTTTTTGTTAAACCGCCGGGTCGGCGTAGTTTGTGAGCGTCAAGTGAACGCAGCTGTTATTTCTAAAATGGACAAAAAAGGCTTTAAACCCTTCTTACGTGTTTGTGTAAATTTACAGTTCATAGCAGACACTACCACAGTTGCTGACAAGTTGGGGCCACACAATACTACATTGGCGCCCGAACATCTTACGAACTCAGATGGCCGATTACTGGATGGAAGCTCCTGTACAACTCCAACAGCAAGAAATGGCGAACCAGTTAGAAGGGTTTGGATACCTGGTCCAAACGATGAGAGCATCTATCAAGCCAACCGTCAATTTCGAGGGAAAAAATTCGGTGGCGATATTCTTAGTTTAGTTTAGTTTAGTGACGGAGGACGTGGGCACCACCCCTTTGCCATTATGGTTAATTGGTTTAACGCCACGTCCACCCTTATCTAAAGCTGACTCATGTTAGGGTCACACGAGATCCACTCATAGGGCACATTGATTCGTGTTACAAAACATAGATATTAAAAATGGTTACATCTGTGTGAACACAGTACTTATGAGTTATGAACAAAACTTTAGCAAGTGACACATAAGATTACAATTCAATACCCTAGCAAGTAATTTTAGCAAGTTACATATAAAGTTTACCATTAAATACATAAAGAAGATATATCATACATAATGATTATATTATACTGTTGTGATTGATAAGTGACGACATTGCCAACATGAATTTACTAATGCAAAATTGAACATTTAAACTCGGTATACAAAAACCGAAGAACATACAAATGCTTATATTTCATACATTGCCAACTTAAAAAAAATTTATAGTGGAGAAGTATAAAAATGCTTAAATCTCACATAAGTCTCTAATTATTCTGAATGTCATTGTTAACTTATGTATTACAGCTTACTACTAAAGACACAGTTATTATATTAAAATTGGATATTAATACAGTTAAACTAATAATTGCACTTAGACTATAAATATACTATAAAAACATTAATTCTATACAATTTCTAAAATGCAATGATTCAAAACAATGATTATATGTGAATATTAAAACAATGATTCACTATAAATATACAATGATTCAATACTGTTACTTAAATTAATGATAATACTATTCATATTATCAATCATATATGCCATGTTAACATCAAAATAATAATTTTTCATATAGGTGCTTATTACTGAAATGATGTTACATATTACTAGCAAGCAATTCAATAATAAGATATGTACAGTACAATTTTACTTGCACATTGGAAATACTATACAAATAAATAATTCAATATAATGATACCGTACAATTACTCATGAATAATTCAATACTATGATTCTATACGATTATTCAAATGCAATGATTCAATACAACAATTCTATGCGCTTATTAGAACAAAACTCTATATAATTATACAAAATTTCAATATTATTGCTCAAATTAATAAAAATACCATTTATATTATAAACCTCACTAGCCAAGTGGCACAAACATTTAAATTACACCATTAATTAATCATTACAGCAATGATACTGCATGTTACTTGAAAGCAGTTAATTATAAATTATGTACTGTACAGTTCTACCTTGCACACTGAATATTATAAATAATGTAATGATGCAATACAGTGATATTATACTGCTTCTTTAGAACATGTACCAAAGCAATAATTATATGCAGTGACTGAAGTATAAAGATTACGATACAAGTATTCAGTGATTTAATATATATATTCAGATTTGTAGTAATAGTAATACTATATATGTTATTAATAACATTTAAATATATGGGTATAGTCATTTAAGTACCTATTACAGTATTGATGTTACATTTACTTGTAAAGAAATCAGTTGTTAAATATGTACAGTACAGTATAACTTGCACTTTATTTGTTCATTACAATTAAGTGATTCAACAGAATGATTCTTTGTGATTACTAAAATATAATAATTTAGTACAGTGATTCTATGCATTTACTAAGTACAATGATTAATCATACCAAACCAGTTTACACAATGATACTATAAAACAATACTATTACTCTTATTCAATATGATTACTCTATTTAGTAACAGAACTATTCCATTATCAATTATACTAGTTAGGTAAACATTAAAAGTAATAACCTTATCATCTATACGATCATCAATACGATTACTCTATTACAATGTTTCAAAAACTATGATACAATAATTAATACTATACACAATTTCTCTGATACAAAACGATTACTGTACTAAAATAATTATTCAGTATAAATGTAGCCGAGGGAGTCCACATAAAGGGATAATTCTTAGTTTTTTATTTGCATTAGTTTTAGCACAGTTCAAGATAGTTTATTTTATGATATACTTTAGAGAGACATATATAAAATTAGATTTGACACAGGTCAGTGCCGAGGTCCATAAGTTTATTAACAATTTTGTTAATCTTTCGTACTGCATGCTTGTTATTAATCATGAACCTGCTAAATGCTTGCTCATTCGTTGGCGGGATCGGCAGGTGCAAATCAGTTGTTAGTGGGCAGTTAGCTACATAATGTTCGGGTGTGCCCAACTCACCGCAAATGCACTGTGCCGTATTTGTAATGCCAAACCTTTCAAAATATACAGGAAAAGGACCATGTCCCCGTTATATACCGTACAAGTTGAGCATGTATTATGAGGCGATCATAAGTTACTGTGGGAATATGATAATAAACACGACGTCCTGTGTCGTCAGAGTTCCACTCTTCCTGCCACAGGGATTTGATTTTTTGCGTAAGATTTTTCTTTAGCCAGGAAATTGGCCAAGGTATCTTAATTTGTTCAGCATTTATGTTTGCGCCGCTTCTTTGGCTAGCTGATCCGCCAGCTCGTTTCCTGTTTGGCCAGCATGGGCCTTTATCCATTGCAGCTTTACGTTTAAATGACTGTTGTCATGTAATTTCGACTGGATGTCTGCTATGAGCGGGGAACAGTGCACTGGATTTAAAAGTGCATGCAGAGACGATAAGCTATCTGTCAATATGAAGCTTCCATTATGTTGCTCCTGTATGATGTGGGTTAGTGCCCGGTCAATTGCTAACACCTCACTCTGGAACACACTATTATTGGTGTCCAGGTGACCTTTCCAAAGTGTTAGCGTGTCCAGGTTTCGCAGGGCTATGTAGGCACAGCCTGTGTTATCATCTATTTGGGAGCCATCTGTATAATATACTAAATCAGCATCCGTTATGTTGGTATTTTGCTTGAGATTAATGTTCACCCCTTTTCCCTGTTTCGCTGGATGATCACATAGCCGTATCAACTTCTTCTCATATTCCGCTGGGAAATAATTATCCTCATGGAGGGTTGCTGGTTGGCCTAATTGGGCGACTGTTTGATAAGTCGCTTCTTTTTCCACACTAAGATGCAACGGTGGCAGACCGGTCAATACACATAGTGCTTTAGTTGGGGAAGTACGAAATGCCTTGGTAATATTCAGTAAGAACGGTCGTTGTATGCTTAAGAGATGTTTTATCTTGCGACCTTGCATAGGTAATGACCAAACTGCCGCCCCGTATGTAACAATTTTTTCAATTACTGTTTTATACAGTACCTTCTGTATGTACGGGTTAAGGCCCCATTCGTGACCTTTCATGAAACTTGAAGTTGCTGAGCTATTCCCAGCGTCTTCTTCTTCAGTCTTCAGTTCCATAATATGTGGTAATCCAATTTAGTTTGATATCAAATACTATTCCTAGGTATTTCAGTTCTTTTAACAATTCGAAGTCGATGATTATTCAAAGTTATTTTTGGTTGTCTTGCGAGCGTACCTCCCTTTTTGGGAACTAGAAGTATTTGTGACTTTGCTTCAGATATCTTGAGTTTAATTTCTGCACATCTCTGATGAAATAGCGAGCAGGATTCTTGGGCGTTGGTCTGAAGTTGTTCTCTTGTTCTACCCCGAACGATGAGTGCAGTATCATCGGCATACGCAATGATGCGCGTGTGCTCTGGCCACGCATTGGTTAATATACCATTGAATGTTATATTCCAAAGAAACGGCCCAGCACACGAGCCTTGCGGGCATCCTTGATTTTGATTTTGCACTACCATACCACTATTATGGGGTACTATTAGCAATCGGTCAGAAAGGTAGTGTTCCAAAGTAAGATAGATATTTCTTGGGCATTTACTTAGGCGCAGGGCTTGAAGAACCGCTGGCCACCACAGCGTGTCAAAAGCGCTTTTTAAGTCGATGGAAATAAACGCTGTGTGATAGCCAGCAGACCTATTTTCTAGAATTTGATTCTTAACTTCTGTAAGCGCATGCAAAGTAGACTGTCCTGGACTAAACCCATATTGTATTGGGCTTAAGTATTTCGTAACATATAGATGATGCCGCAATCTTGTCATGATCAGCTTTTCGTAAACCTTCCCCAAAGCTGAAAGCAGACATATTGGACGGTACGACTCTGGAGACGTTGGATCTTTATTCTTTTTCAAAAATAAGACCACTTGCCCAATTTTGAAGCTGTTAGGGAATGTCCCCCTTTGCAGGAGCTTATGAAGAGTGATTG